TTTCATCTATTTTCCATTTAATCATAAATAAGTGGAACGTACAGAAGGCACTGTTTGCACTATTGATTTCTGACTACTGATTTCTTGTAGCGTGAAGTTATTTTCAAGTTTCGGTTTTAAAACCACTGAATAAATATAATACAACCAATTGAAACAGTCCAATATAAGCGAGGAAAGCATGAGCGATTTGTCCTTAAAAAAAGAAATAAACCATTTCAGATATTTCCAGTATAGCCTGCAAAAGATCTGAAATGAAGCAGAATGACACCAAAGTGTTTCAGATTCATCATTAATAAACGTAATTGTTGTGGATTGAATTTGACTTAATGATCTTTGTGCTGCAATTGATCAGTAACAGTGAGGTGCACATCACTGTCAGCATGCAATGGCACCGTAGCTACGCAGCCAGCATATGAAAACTTCAAAGATTGTTTTCTATCATTAAAAATGCATCATGTGTAAACAATGTTTGAAGAACATGCAGAATTCACCTCATTGCATTCAACACAATACATGTTCAATCTTTTGCTGTCAGCGATTTTCCGGTATCCGGTATTCGTTCAACGATGAGACTGTTGTAGATTAGTAGGGGATAAACAATACACTTAGGGATGAGAACAATTGGTGTGGAAGACTTTTTAGAATCGTGCAAAATGGTCGAGTTGAGAGGCGCAGTAAATAATTGCATAGAAATGGGCGAGTTGATGAACAAAACCATCGAAAAACGAATGATTTATTGTTGGAAGTTGTTTTGAAATGTTGCGAAAGTGTGATGATGGTTATCGGTCTGTAGACGCCATTCAGACTGCACACTGCTGCTGCATTATCCGTTCGTCCGTTCATACTTTCTTAACAATCAATCTGATCGGCAAGTTTTCCACTCACTGTTCACATTATTCTCGGTCAGTGCACAGTTTCTGCACCTCAGCTTGTGCACACCAAATCGCGCTAATTCAGACTACCCAAACATTCACTCCACACTAATCAGTTCCAGTCTAATCCTTTGCTTCGTCAATCATAATCCTCTTATCATTCAAATAAATCGATGAGATAGATCGATCTCATTCCTTCATCCACTGTCACCTTGCTGATTGTAAGGCAATGTGCTTGAATTGTCCATGAATAAAATCTTTGTTATACCTTACAAAAAAAAGACATGAGACTGATATCTTCTTCCATTGTTGTGAGGGAGGGATTCTTTTGAATGATTCAGGTGAGGATGTTGACCATAATGATAATGCTGCAATACTGCTGAAAAATAAATCACTGTTTGAATGCATCGGAAGAAAAGAAATGCAAGCAATGACATAGGCGTTTCACTGATCTTGAGAGGTATTCGAGTGAATCTGCGCCTGTTTTGCATGTTCGAGAAGTGCATAAGTGCTGATAACGCAAATGAAAAGTGCACAAGAAAAACAACAACAAAAAAATTGTGAGGCTAATGATGGAAGAAAAATTTTCATTGCATTCATTGTTTGTTCATTTCAAGTGGTTCAAGCGAGTGTAGTTTGTTTGATGTCAATTTGCTGCTTTTATCAAGATTTCAGATCGGTTCGGTGCCGTTCTGTCTATTCGCGTGCACTCAACGCACACACACCTGATAACGATCACAACAAAAACACCAACAGTTATAGTCAGCAAAAACAATCCTGATAGTAATAACAGTAATAATAATAATAATAATAATAATAATAATAATAATAATAATAATAATAATAATA